GGGGGGGGGGCTGGTCTTCCTTTCGTCCTCCCTCTCCATGTTAGGCGTTCAAAAACACCTTCCATGAAATAAAATCAAACGCATGACGCACACAAGACCACCTGAAACAGTGATGGCGGACAGCAGACACCTGAGGGGGCGCTGTTTTGGTTGGGACCGGAAGGAAAAATGGCGTTCCGGGCGGGAAAAACGTAAATCCCGATGACGCAAATCCGGGGTTCGACCTCTATATAATTTTCAGGGGGCTGCCTTGGCTCGTCCTGTAAAATTGAGGGGTGGATGGCTCCCCAAGACGTAAGATCGTTCTCCTTTACGAGAGTCTGACCTGAGCCCTGGTCTCATTGTCCATCAGCCCTGAGAGTGCAGCCTCTAAACCTCAGCCGTCTGGCTCCCCGGTACCAGCCGGGGTATCGGGCGGCTCGTCCGCACCCCTGCAGCCCGAACCCGGAGTAGCCCCGAAAACGGACCAGCCAGTGGAGTCTCCCCATCAGGCACCAGCTCCGCAGAGAGTGGACAGAAGGATCGAAGACGTTCCGGAAAGCCCAGTGACCCCCCAGTCCTCTCCTCCTCCGCTGCTCCAGGCTGCCCCCCCCGGGGATCCCAGCGATCCTACCCAGACACCCCCAGCCCGGGACCAGAGGCCCCTGCTGGGGGGGCAGCCGCCATTGGCCGAATTAGGCCCGGCTCTGGACGGGGCGGCCAATCAGAAGGAGGAAGGGGTTGAGCCGGCGCGCGGATTGGAGGACGGGGAAGAGGGGGCGGGGTTGGAGGCCGGGCAGGAGGAGTTACTTCCTGTGCTGGGCGCCCAGCTTCCTCTCCACCGTGCCCAGGGGTAAGTGTGGGTGCGGCGGCCCCCCCTTGCATGGCTTGGCACGGCGGATTTGAAAGATGGCGGCAGTGAAGCTTTTTCGAGTGGCTGAATCGGGACCAGGCTGAATCGGGAGGCTAGCCCAGCCTATCTGGACTGACGTCAAACAGGAATCGTTTTCAGATTGAGAGCACCCTTCGTTCCAAGATCCAGCGCCCCTGTGGGCGGGGTCTGACGTCGGAGACCTACGTCACAGTGCCTCTATGTGACAGATTAACATGGCCGCTGCCTGCATATATATGTATTTAGCCTTCTGCATCGGCACTTGCTCCTGGTGATGATGAGTAGCAGCTTCTGTTGAGATGTTTGCTGTCGCATCAGCCACGACTCCTCTGGTCCACCCCTGTGCTTCTCCCAGAGCCGGGGCAGCTGGATGACGCTTCTGCTCCTAGGGGTGAATTGCAGCCTGAGCTCGGCAAAGAGGAGCCGTTCATTCGCCTGCTGATGCTCTGGGGTGCCCCTGCTCTGATTGGCGCTGCAGTGTTTTATCGTGATTCATCCCTGACCCCTGACCCCTGAGCTCTGATGCTCTGGGGTGCCCCTGCTCTGATTGTAACTGCGGTGCTTCATGCTGCTGTATCCCTGAATCTTGACCTCTGACCCCGGCCCCTGAACTCTGCTGCTGAGTGCTGCCCCTGCCCTGATTGTAACTGCGGTGTTTTATGATGATAGAAGATCCCTGACCCCTGACCACTGAGCTTTGCTGCTGTAGGGTGCCCCTGCTCTGATTGTCCCTGAACCTTGACCTCCGACCCCTGAACTTTGCTGAGGTGGGCTGCCCCTGCTTGGATATTTACTGCGGTGTTTCACACTGATGTATCCCTGACCTCAGTCTCCCTGTCCATCAGCCCTGACAATGTGGCCACAGAGCTTCAGTCATCTGATCCAGAAGCAACCAGAGCCCCTGGGGCTCCATCCACACGGGAGCCCAGATCAGAGGAGCCCTTGATGGAAGAGAAGCCGGAGAAGGCTGCCCTCCCAACTCCAGCGCAGAGCAGAGCCGACAGGCAGACGGGAAGGGCATTGGCCCCTGGGCGCCCACCCTCTCCGGGATCACAGACTGTCCCCCCCAGAGCCCCCTCCACGACTCCCCAGGAACCCGCAGCTCATGTCCAGAGCCCCTCTCAGGAAGAGCAGCCCCCACTGGCCCATGCAGGCCCGGTTCCGGATGAGAGCACCAATGGGAAGGAGCTAGGGGAGGGGCCTGTGTCTGGATTGGACGCCCCGCGGGAGGAGGCGGAGTCAGGGGCGGGGCAGGAGGAGGAGGAGGAGGTGTCCCTGGGCCCAGTGGTGGGCATCCTGGACCGGGGGTAAGTGCGATAGGGGCACACGGGCACCACTCTTGTCGCATGGCTTGGCACGGAGGATGGCAGAAGGAGCAGCACAGGAGGATATCGGCGTCTGCGCAGGCTTCACTGAAATCCCCCCCCCCCAAACTCCCACTCCCTCATCCCCACCCCTCCCTCCCTCTCTCCAGCACTTCTCTATCCCAGTACCTCTCTATCCCAGCCTCCTCTCGCTCCAGTTCCTCTGCTTCTCCTTGGCTCTCTCCTTCTTTTTCCAATCTGCTATGTCAACAAATGGGTCGGCACACAGATGCACCTCAGAGACGTCACGGGGGGTCTGCCGATCTGGAGAAGAGACTCCCTTAGTTCCCAGAGAAATCTGGCCATCGCTCAGACCAGACACTTTTGGGGTGGAGGTGGAGTCTAATTCGGGATTGGAAGTCTTGCGTTTGGAGGCGGGGTCAGGGGCAAGGCTAGAGGTGGAGTCTAAAGCGGGATTGGAAGTCTTGCATTGGGAGGCAGGGCTAGAGGTGGAGTCTAAATCGGGATTGGAAGTCTTGCATTGGGAGGCGGGGCTAGAGGTGGAGTCTAAATCGGGATTGGAAGTCTTGCCTTGGGGGCGGAGTCAGGGGCGGGGCTGGGCTGAATGGGGAGGGGCGCAGGACCCTTCCTCCCCGTGTGCGGTCAGAGGGTTTGTCGCCGTGAGCCGGGACGCAGGAATGGCGTACCCTTTTCTCGGCGATTCCGAAACCGGTCCCGGAATATAACCGAATAATTGGGGGAAAGGATCCCACCGAGGCGATCTTCCACCTGTTTGGTTGGATCGAATTTCGATTTTGTAGGGGAGTTAACCTGACCGCTGAAGAGCTCAAAGAAAGGTGCTCATATGCACATGCCACTCGATCTACCATCCCCGAACAACAATTCGGGCCAGAAACAGGCCAGGGCACACGTCTCCCGCTTACCCACAAGCCTGGGCTTCGCCGTTGTGCGTTTCTGCTGAAGTCCCGCCCTCTGGGCTTTCCCCTTTCCTGTCACCCTCCCCTTTCCTGTCCTGTTCACCTCTTTGACCCCGCCGCGCCCTGTCCCCCTTCCTGTCCCTGTCCCATCAGCCCCGGGAGCACGGCCGCCGCGCCGCAGACGCCCAGCCCGGGGCCGGTCGGCGTTCCCCCTGCCCCGCGACCCAGATCCGAGGGGGCCCCACCGGAGGCCCCCGCGGCGTCGCCGCCCCGGGACGGAGGGGACGGACCCACGGATGCTCCCGCTGAAAGCCCGCCGCCCCCCCACCGCCATCCCTGTCCGCCGCTGCCCTCCGGGGCTCCCCGCGTTGTCGCCCCGGAGCCCACACCCCGGGATCGGAGCCCTTCCCCGGGGGGAGACCCCGCAGTGCCCGGCACGGTGATCGGGGGAGCCGGGGGGAAGGAGCCTGTGTCCACACTGGAGGCTGTGGTGGGCCCAGTTGAGGACAGTGGGTAAGTGTGGTGTGGGAGCTGCACCCCCAGCACGGCTCGGGCCCGCCAGCGCACAGCGGCCGGTGTTGCTGTCCTGCAGCGTCGTGATGGGACCCCCCCCCTCCCCGGTCATACTTCCCACTGAGGCTGGTTGCGGGCCAAGAGTCTCCACGTCAACATCAACTTGCCAGGTGTCAAGCCCACCCCAACGCCACCCTCTGCGCCACCCTCGCGCTTCGCTCAATGTCACTGCCAGCTCAGCTGTGCCTGATGGGAGTCCTCCCCCAGACCCCCGTCAGCGAGACATCTCGTCTGGGCTCGGCTCAGACGGGGTTCCGCGTGCGTGCGTGTGCGTGCGTGCGTGCGTGTGTGGCCCCCGCGGCCCGGCTTTGTGCGCTAGCGGAGGTGGTGGGAGTCCGTGATCGGCTCCCAGCTGCGAGAGCTGCACTGTCTTCTCCGGCTCCGGAGAAGACAGCGGATTGGCTGGCGCCGGGGTTGTGAAGTCTGGGCATGCTGGGATGGCGGGCCGACCAGCCCCTCCGAGAGGGGCGGCTGGTAACCCTAGCGGAAATCGGAATTGTCGGTCGTCAGGCGCTGGTGGTTGGAATTCGCGGGACCAGCGTGGGATCCCAGAATTCTTCTGCCTTTATTCAGTGATCTTTAGCCTCGTAGTTTTTTCTGTTAACGGCGCTGGGTCAGTCGTTTCTGATTGTCGGTGGTTCGGGGGCAGTGTCCTCGTTGACTGTTGTACACCGTGCACCCTGTTCTCAGGGCCACAGCGCTTGACCTCTGACCTCAATCTCCCAATCCATCAGCCCCGAGAGTGTGGCCGCTGTACTGCAGCAGCCTGAACCAGGTGTCGCCGCTGCCCTGTCTGCACAACAGCCTGGATCGGAGGAAGACCGGATCATGGAGGGACCAACGGAGGCTCTCAGGTCAACTCCAGCCCAGGACGAAACAGGAAGGCACACAGCTGCTGTAAACCTCCTGGTGACCGAGCTGTCCCCAACTCCCCTGTCAGTTGGCTTTCTGGCCCCCAAAGTCCCTTTCACTGATGCCCAGGAGCCCTTATCCCGGGACCACACCCCCTCCCAGAGGGACGACACGCCATTGGCCAAAACAGCCCCTGCTGTGGAGGAGGGAGCCAATGAGAACGGCCTGGAGTTGCAGCAGGTGTCCGGATTGGAGGCTGTGATGGAGGAGGCGGGCTCTGCGCCGTGGCCGGAGGAAGTGGGCGCGGCGGAGGCGGTAGTGGGCGCCCAGGTCAAGGGGTAAGTGTGTGAAGGCACCACCGCTCTCGGCACTGAGCGGCACTGGCGATGTGGGGCACCTCAAGCCGGCGATTCCGATTCGGATTCTTATGCTTGGCCCTGCTTAACGCCTACTGACGCCCGTCCCTTGTGCTTGGCGGGACTTTTCAAAAGCGACTCTTGGTGTTTTAACACCGTCCCATGCTGGAGACCCGCATGGGAGTGGCCGGC